TCTCTCTCTCTCTCTCTCTCTCGCGCGCGCGCGCGCGCACACACACACACAGGAATACTATTCCTCCTTAAAAACAGAAGGAAATCCTGCTATTTTGGCAACATGAATGAAATGCTAAATCAGGAAAGCCAGACACAGTGAGACAAATGCTGCACGATTTCACTAATATGTGCAATCTAATAAAGAAAGTAGAACTCAGTAAAAGGAGTAGACAGACGGTGGTTACCATCTGGGAGGTGGGGAAATGAGATGTGGGTCAAAGGTACAAACTTTCAGTTATTAGATGAGTAAGTTCCAGAGACCATGATGTACAGTATGGTGAATATATTATAGTTAATGTGTACTTGAAATTTGCTAGGCAAGCAGATCTCAAGTGTCCTCACCACACAGACACACAAAAAAGGCACTGGGAGAAGAGATATGTTAATTAGATTGATTGTGGTAAGCATTTCACAATGAATATATACACCAAAACATCACCTTTATACACCTTAAATATACACAATTTTTATTGTCAATTCCATTTCAATAAAGCTGGGGGGAGGGGAAAGGGGGGGGAGTATGGTTTGTAAAAGAAGAAATCAAGAGCATCCTAAAGTGGTATGTGAGATGCTTTTTTTAGAGTACTAACTGCTGTGAAGATTCTTATCTATTCATTCACCAAAGAAAGTAAAACAAACAAACAAAATTCTGAGGCCCATTATATAAGTCAATGACAAACTACTTCCCTGTACATAAATTTAGGGAAATCTAAATGTCTCACCCACTCCCTTTGTTTCTTCCCTCCTACAGAAAAGAGGTACAATGATAATATGAAAAACATGACTCTAAATATAAACTATTCAATTACTCAAATCTCTAGCTGATAAAACTAGCCATCAACGGTTAGTGCACTAACCTGCTTTTTATAAACATTAGTCAGACAATTCAGGGTCAGCACTATTCAAAATAAGATTCATTTAGCTTATCATTCTCCAATATTAAGCCTAAGAACAAGAATAAAACAGTTAAATGCAAAGTAAGTATCCTGCCCCAGAAGCTGAAATTTCCTAAATATACTACAGGGGAGTACCAGGAAAGTGATCCAATGTGACAGTATACAAATTCAGCAAAGTATATTGAAAGTAATTTATCAAATTCCCAAAGAAAACAAATTCAGATCATATAAAGCACATATCAAAAACTACTGCAAATAGGGCCAGGCGAGTAGCATGATGGTTAAGAGCTGGCTTGGGACACCAGAGGGCCTCGGTTCGGATCCACATATGAGGGCCAGTGACACTGCCCTCTACAGCTAACATGCTGAACAGCAGCTCAACCTGGAGCTAGGCTGCCATGAGTCGCCAGCAACGGAGTAGGCTGGAAAAAAACAACACTACTGCAAATAAAAACAATTAAAATTCTCTAAGATTTTATACATCTTTTTAAGAAGCAATTACAGAACAATGAGCTCAAATTGAATGAGTTCAATCACAAACCTGAAACTGTGGAATTGTCATTTCAAAAGACTTGTTCGTTACTTGGCCTGAACGATCTCCCACTGTTAGCATCACTGCAACATAAGGATACTTGAGTGACCTGCAACTGTCTGAGCTCACAGCCATGCCCAGTTTCCACTGAAAATCTAGAAGCTGTAACGACACAGTACAAAACAATACATCAGTAATCATCCTGCCCCAAGTGCAGATATTTAATTTTACTGCTCTCACAACTTTTGCCAACCATCAAAAAGAAAATACCTTCATTTTAATATTGCTAGGGAATAATAATAAAAAATGAAGACAGGCTCAAAGGGATATAAACAGAGTTAGGAAACAGCACTGTCATAATTACAGAAGGAAAGAAACAAAAAACAAAAATCTTCATCAGATGTGTAAGGGATGTAGAAGGAAGCTGTGGCAGTACTGGTTTCCTTTCATCTTGCTCCTGCACTTAAGGGAACTCCAACGCTTTGGACAGCCTCTTAACTTACTTTCCTGTTCCATATATGCTCTCCCCACTCCACAACCCACAAGTAATGGAAGATGAGTTATACACCATTTCATGTTTGAGGCACACGTGGAAACCACTCCAGTTTCTTTCCTCACCAGTCCTCAACCTGCAACCTTACACTAACATAAATACTGGGTGCTAGGTGGTTTGAGATTTCATCCCTGTTGATGATGGACACCTGGCAGGTAATGTGCTACGCAGCTGACATGTATTAAATGCCTCACTGAATCATCATAATATGATAGGCTATTATTTTCATTTTCCAGATGACACAACTGAATTTCAGAGAGCTTAGATAATGTGCACACGGTCACACAGTTCTGGAATCAGAACTGAAACCAAAGTCTGTTTGACTCCAAAGATTACATGCTTATTGACTACTGGCTGATTCAATACTTTTTAGCTAATTTCTGTCAGTGATTGCTCGGTGTTGCCATGGCATAAAACAGGACTGGATAAAAGCAGCTCTTAATACTGACTCTACAACATAAGACCATGAGTGGAGGAACTATGTGTCTTGTTTGCAAAGTTTAGGCAGGTACATAGTACACAGCAGACACACAAAAAATGCTTATCTACTATCTTTTGCTACCAAATTAATGCTGATTGGGCAAAAGCTTTGCTTGTTAATAAATTCATTTCTATAAGAGGTGGGATCAGTGTGAGGATCAAAATTTCCTCCTGTCTCGGACTGACTTTGGACCAATCAGCTACAGCATTAAGTCCAGGCTGGTGCTAATGAAAGGGAAGCACACTAAATAAGTAAAAAGATTACATAGATACATTTTAAATAAAAGCTTCCCATAAAAAACTAGAGACAGGATTGTAAATAACAAAAGAACTACAATAATAAAAATATGAAAAAGCAACAGAAATGCACATTTAAACAACAATGAAATACCACTGCACACCTACCAAAATGGCAAAATTTTATAAGTCTGACAATTCTAAGTATTGGGAAGGAAGGACGTGGACCATGCTGTTGATGGAAGTCTAAACTGGGCCAAATTTTGCAAAACTAGCTTTGCCTGAAAGCTGAAGCTATGCATATCCTGTGATCCAATGATTCAATTACTAAGGATATAACCTAAAACACTTGTGCATATGTACATAGGATACACATACGAGAATGTTCCTTGTAGCTACATCCGTAATAGGCCTAAACTATCAACAACCCAAATGTCGATCAGTAGTAAGTAAAATCGATAAATGAAATTCTGTACAGCAATGAAAATCAATGAACTTCAGCCACACTGAACACCAAAAATGTTGAAAGAAATGTCAAAAAGTTATGAGTCCATTACACGGAAACTTGAAACAGGAAACATAGCATTGTTTAGGGATGCATACACACATGGCAAAACTATAAAGAGAAGCAAGAATATGGTGATTGCAAAAGGATAATTATGATCTCTAGGGAGGAGGGAAGGGAGAGGTTTGGGGAGGGGCATGTGATGGGCTTCTGGGGTACTGGTAATGCTCCATTTCTTTCTTTTCTTTTTTTGGCTGTATTATAATATTTTATTTAGTTAAAACTACTTTTGAAGACATTTAGGATGCATCATATTTTTGCTATTATATACACTACTTAACAAATGTCTGTGTAGCATTATCTTTTTTCATATCCACCATTTTTTATTTTACATTTTATTGCAGTATAACTGACATATAACATTAATTTCAGGTGTACAACATGATTCAACAGTTGTATATATTGCAAAATGATCATGCTCCATTTCTTCAGTTTTAATTGTGGCTACACAGGTGTTCAATTTTAAATTACTCATTTTTATGGTAACAGTATGAGATGGAGCTTAACTAAATTTATTGTGGTAATCATTTCACAATATATGTATGTCAAATCATTACACAGTATGTATACTTTAAATTTATGCGGAGCTGTATGTGAATTATATCTCAATAAAACCGGAAAAAAGTCAAATTATTCATTAAATTGTCTGTAGGTTATGTACTTTTTGGTATATATGTTATCTTACACAAACAGCGGTGGGGGAGGATGTAAGCCCAGGAGTACCACATTTCTGGTCGAAAGGAAAAAGTTGTAGGCTAGGGTGCTCAAGAACAGCTTCACAGAAGGGGTACCTTTAAGCTCAGTTTTGAAGAATAAACAGAACTGCAATTGAAGAAAATGTCTTATTTACATATTCTATAAATACACACCTAACAAAAAGTGCTTACTTATATTAAGCTGAACCAACTAGAGATAAAAATAGTATCTGATTAAGGGATGGAGCATTTATCTGTCTTAAAGTGGAAGGCTCTTGCAAGCAAGCATGGAAAATAAAGGTGACAAAAGTGATCAGGGGGCCAATAAGTCTTTGCAATGAGATTTTCAAAGTTTCAGAGGTTTTCAAAGTACCCTCATATACTCTATCTTATTATGCAAAACATGTAAGTCATTTAAACTTTTCCTGTAGGCAATGGGGACACACTGAAAGTTTCTGAGCACAGAGAATGATATGAAAGTACTGATTGAAAAATATTCATCTGGTGAGAACAGAATACAACAACAGTCCAGGTATGAGGTTTGAAGCGCCTGAAGCAAGGTGGTGACAAGTAGGATTAAGCTGAACCTTGACAGAATGAATCACTAGGTACTGATGACTGCTTCCATAGTTATGGGAGGTATCAGACAACTTCAAAAATTTGAGCCCGTATGACTGGGAGAATTCTGATATCATGTATCAATCAGGACTTAATATGCTCGTATTTTAAGTCCAAAGGTATTATCAAGAAGTGAGAAGGAAAATCTAAATAGGAATGTTCAATAACTGGCTAAAAATCCAAGAACAGAATTCAAGGGAGCTCATGATAAGACATACAGCTTTTATATCAGTTCAATGATATCCAAGAATTTAACTGGACATTTCTTAAAACTTAGTCAGCCTATACAACTCCTTGATGCAAGAAGTTCCATTTTGACTGTCCACAGTAAAATGGTACAGTAAAACATTGCTTATTTGACTCTCAAAGTCTGAAATAAAACTCTGGATTATCTAGAGCATTTCAAGCCAAAGAACAATTAAGGAACACAAAGTTGGGATCCACTGACCATTACAATGGTGAAACTGGCAGGTGAGGAAATAGGGAACGCTCCCTACCTGACAGTTATTGTGCAAAATTAGTATTCATGGGTTAAAGAAAGCTAGAATTAGGTTTATGAGATGAGAATTTCCCAAATTCTAAACTGAACATTGAAATGCAGATTAAAAGCACAACTTCTAATAAATATGATTTAGCCTTAAATAGGAATTAACTGTAGATAAGATTTAAAAAAGAAAAGAATAAAAATAATATCAAAACAGCATACTTATCAGTATGGAGCATATTAAAAATGAACAGCCTCAAAATTCTTGTAGGATGAAGAAAATAAAAGAAAACAATGCAAAGAAAAGTTAGAAGTAAAATGATTACAAAGAAGAAAAATAATCAGAAAGCAAATATAAATAAAAAGGTAAACCAATGGGCCAGCCGAGTGGCTCAGTTGGTTAAGAGCTGGCTCAAGAGTGTGAGCTCTGAGCAACAAGGTCCCCCGTTTGATTCACGGCCCGAGCTGAGCTGCCGCTGAGCTGCCAACAGGTGGCAGGATGGCTCAGCTAAAAAAAAAAAAAGGTAAACCAAGAAATTAGCTGTCATCAGTCACACTAAAAATTAGATGTGGTAGCTGAAGTTATTAGTAATAGAAAAACATCATTATAAACACTGTCTATAAAGCAAAAAGTTGATAAAGACCACTTCAGTTTAAATTTAGTTTTTATTTTTCAAAACACAACATTTTGTTTTCAAAACAGAAAATTAGAAAAAAAATCATGCACAAAAACGATTTTCTTAAACGAAAATCCTGAAAACGATTTTCCTGTGCCTGTGTCCCCATTACTAGTCTTTATCTGTTTGTGATGCTTAAACAACTCGTCCAAGGATACAAAACTAGTAGAGCTGGTATTCAAACCCAAATTTGTCTTATTCCATATTCCATGCATTTTTCACTATCCCTAACTGCAACATGATTACTAACTGGAATTAAACTAAGTTCTAGCAGGTCAAGAAAGTAGATAGGTCTGGGGCGGAACAAGAATGTTTAGCATCTTCTACATGCTAGACCTGAGCTGCCCTATACAGTAGCCACTTGCTAAATGTGACTGTTTAATTATAAATACACAGAATAAAAACTTCAGTTCCTCAGACTATATCAAGTGCCCAACAGTCACACGTGGCTAATGCTGCCACACTGAACAGGACCAACACAGAGCATTTCCACCATCGCAGAAAGTTCTGCTGGGCAGTACTGTGCTATTCCCTGTGCTAATAATATATATGTGGAAACCGATTAAGGCATGAGTTATTAGCAAGCTCCTGCTTGAGAACTCATATTAGCTCCAGCTCAAGTAAACGTCTGCCAAGTGTCATCAGCCTTCCTCATCTTGTTTAATGGCACCGTCATCCATACTTTTGCTTTATTTTCTTCATAGCACTTATTATCTGAAATTATCGTGTTTACTTATTTATTAACTGTCTCCCCAAGGAAATGCAACCTTCACGAGAGCAGGAGCATTATCGACCTAGTTTACTACTGAACTTACTAGAACAATATCTGGTACAAAGTCAATGCTCCTGTAAGTATTTGTTGAACTAACATGTTTAGAACTTAGGGGGTATGTGGTACATGGTCTCCAAAGATAGCTTCCGACAATCAGTGTCACCCCTGCCTGTGCGTATATATGTCACTCCTCACATCAAGAAGTGGGGCTTATCTTCCTTCTGCACAAATCCGAGCTGTACCTGTGACAACTTTCACCAGCAGGTTATGGCAGACAAGGCTTTGTGGGACCTTTGAGCCTAGGTCTTAGGAAAACTGGAAGTGTCTGCCTCCTTCCTCATTGAAGGCTGGCTCTTGGGACTCTCCTTCTTGGAACCCAGCCACCATGATGTCAACAGCCTTGCGAAGGGGAACCAAGTCACTCCAATTACCAGCTTTAGCTGAGCTCTCAGCCAGTCATCGCTGAACCATGTGAGTGAGCCCTCTTGATTTCCGGCCTGATTAGGCTCCTAGATGACTGAAGCCCCAGCTGAATGACAGGGAGCAGAAACCACCACCCAGCTAAACCCCATTAACACACAGTCACGAGAGCTAATTAAACAGGTGTTTCACATCCCTACATTTTGGGTAATTTGTTATGCAGCAATAGATAACTAAAGTAGGGCCAACACAACTAGCTGGAAATAACTTTGTCGATAAGTTTAATATATGACTTAATCAAAATTGTATTCTCATAACTATATAATCTGGACTATATTAGTTTATAGACATTTTAGCAAATACAAATAACCAAAAAATATTTCAGATCTGGTTAGTGTAACTAGTTACCGCTGAGACGTTAGCACATCCAGGAAATAAAATACAGAAAAATAAAGCTTTTCCCGTTAAACACATTGACTACTAGTAAGTTCAACTTACTAGTACAACTAGTAAAAAATAGTACAACTGCCCAGCAACACCAAACATGTGTCATCTTCCCTCAAAAATGTTTTTTATCCTCATTTCTACTGATGACCCTCATTTTCCTAATGACTGAGGTTTAAACTTTGGTCAGCTTTGACTTTTCTCTCTCCCGTATTCAAAACGTGTGAATTGCTAGGTACTCAAGATTTTATTTCGGCCAATGTCCACTGACATTTATTCCCTTCTTCCCAATCTCCCTGCTACAAACCTATTCTATGCCTATTTTTAAAATCTTGCCTTAAATTTTACTGCAGCCTCCTAACTAGTTTGTTGACTATAGTCTTTCTCGGCTCCAATCAAGAGCATAAACTCTAAACACTGCTTATAAATTATGTGACCAAATCTAGTATCACAGGTGGAAACCTGTTAGTCCACTGCCTCCAGGGCGAGTGACCAACCTCTCCCCTCGCACTGAAGTCATCTCACAGCACAGCCCCCCAGAGCTCTCCCACTTGTCCTCCATTGGACTGCAATCCTTTCTTTAAATTATCTTTCAGCCTTTACCCCTTTCCTCATACTGTTCCTTCCTCTTGGCATACAACTCTCATCTACTTAAAATCCAAAACTCCTCTCAAATTCTACCTGCTCTGTGGTGTCTCCTGGTTTACTCAACCTTTCTAAGAATGTTCTATGTGACTTTATACGCCAGCTCTTAGGACATTCTGCTTAGCGTAGCAGTCACTTGTGGATCTGTCTCTGCCCCATATCCACTAGGCTGTAAAACACCTTGAGGGCAGTGGGTACACCCAATACAGTACATAGAACAGAAACAGTCATATATTTGTGAACCAGCACAAACCTGTAAAAAATTTAAGTCACTATTTCTTATATATGGGAAGAGGGAAAGTGGTACTAGATATTGCACATTAAACATTTTTCTCTTTATTTATACCATAAAACTGGCAAGAAAGCACTAAAACGTGACAGGGATAGGAAAAATCATTCATCTATGAGGAGTCCTAATTAGACATCTATATAAGAGAATCATGAATTACTTCAAAACAATGATTCTAAGTCTCAGAATGTGAAGTAATAGATCATCTTAGACCTCTGGTGCTCGGTAATACAGCACCATGGTTTATTAAATTTAACAAGCACAGATTCTAAAGTCAGACAGACCTGAGTTTGAATCTCAGCTCTGCTACCTTATAATCCTATGGCTTTGGACAAGTTACTGTGTCTCTGTGCCCCATTATTCAATAAGTATTGACTGTGTCTCTGTGCCCCATTATTCAATAAGTATTGACTAAATAATACTATATTCTAGGCACTAGAAATATAAAAAAAGAATAAAACGAAGTTCTTGACCTCAGGAACTCACATTTTAGTGGGGAAGGCAGACAATAAACAAATAAACATACAATGAAATTGTAGTGTTATAAAAAGCGTAAAAACAATGCCGGGTAAGGGGGTGGTGTGACAGGAAGGCTGTGTAGATAGACCTGTGGAGACCTCTCTGAAGAGCTGGCTTTTGAGAAGAAAGAGACCTAAACAAAGTGCAGGAAAAAGCTACGTGTCTATCTGGACAAAAAGAGAAGCACACTTGGCTTGCGCGCAGGGAACAACGAGGCCCACGTGGCTAGAGTGGCATGAGCTAGGCGAAGAGTGGGAAGAGAACAGGAACCCACTGTGGGGCCTGAAGGACAAAGTAAATCCATTTTGATGGGCCTGGAGGCCAAAGCAAATATTTAATTTTTTTCTAGTGTGACAGGAATCTCCTAAAAGGCTTCAACAAGAAAGACATGGTCTACCTAGATTGCAAAAGGCTCGTCCAGGCTGCTGGATAGGGCATTAAGTTTACTAAGGAAAGCAGTGAAACCTTACTGGGAGCCTATTGCAGGAGTCTAGGCAAGAGGATGGTGGCCTGAACTCAAGTGGCAGCAAGGGGAGGTGAATTTAGAGTACCTTTTTTTTAAGCTGAGCCATCCTGCCACCTGTCGGTAGCTCAGCTCGGGCTGGACTCGAACCGCTATTGCTCAGAGCTCAAACTCTTGAGCGAGCTCTTAACCAACCGAGCCACTCGGCCCGGCCCTTAGAGTACATTTTTAAAGGTAGAGAAGCGTATGCTAATGGAATACATGGCAGCTGTGAACTCTCAGTGGACATGTGGTCCCAATTAATCAGGATAACTCATATACTAGTGAAAAATATTTAAAGAGAGAAGGTATTATAGCACAAAAAATTCAAACTAATAATGGCCTTAAATGTTAGATATTCCTGGTACATTTAAGCAGCATATACTATAAACATAAATGACTTGCATCTGGGTTAACACATTTTTTCCCCCTCTATAATACTCTTGAATACACATAATCATTTTATCTAGCAGTATATTTAAAAACACATCATTATGAATAAAAATGTCCAATTTAGGAATTCCTGGAGGTAAAACTCACCAAAGTGTGCGCCCCTACCCCACTCACAACCAATGACTGGGTCCCTGAGATTTTAACTATTATTTAGACTTGTCCACACTGAGCTTCCAGCAATTTATCAATTACAGTTACGGTCTTTCTACCCTGCACTGGTTTTTGTGGAAGTTTCTGTTCTGGTTAAGTTTTAATTCCCTGTATTCACCTGTGTCTCCAATTTGGGGGGCAGCAGTATGCCCTGTGACCTTACTTCTCTGATAGTCCAAGAAGAGTTGTTGACTTTTTCAGTTTGTTCAACTTTTAACTTTTTAGGATGAAATGACGACTTCCAAGCACCTTAGAAGATGGGCTGAAAACTGAGTCTATTACTTTTTATAATTTTCTTAATAAAGGTTTTAAATCTCTTATGGCAAGGTACTTTATAATTTCTTTCTTTATGTTGTAAATGACATCTTATAAAAAATATTTTTCAACTGTGTATCTTAATATAGGAAAACAATTAAATCACCTTGCTTAAATTCTCCTATGAGTTCCAATAATGTTTGTAAATTATCTTGGCTCTTTCTATGAAAACAATCACGTAACTTGTGAATGCATGGAAGGGATGAGTAGTAGGCTGAAGAACAGCCCCCCAAAGTTGTCCACATTCCAATTCCTGAAACCTGTGAGTGCATCATCTTATATGACCAAACACACTTTTGCAGGTGTGACTAAATTAAGGGTTTTTTAAAAAAATAATAATTAAGGATCCTGAGGTGAGGAGAGCTTCCTAGATTCAGGTAGCCCTAATGTAATCAAAAGGCTATTTATAAGAGTCAGAGTCAGAGAAGGTAACGATGACAATAGCAGAAAGAGAAGTAACAGAAGACAAGATTGGAATGACGTGCTTTGCAGATGGAAGTGGAATCCACAAGACAAGAATGTGAGCAGCAGGTTGGAAGCTGAAAAAGGACAAGGAAACAGGTTCTCTCCTAGAGCCTCCAGAAGGAACAGTCCTGCCGACACCCTGATTTTAGTCCCATTAGGAAGAATTTTGGACTCCTGACCTCCAGAACTGTAAATTTGTGTTGTTTTAAATACCCTGCTCCCACCCGCCCCAAAAAAAGCTTCGATTTTTAAAACGCTATAATCTAGTCAAATTCAGTTTCAGGATATTCAAGTAAATATAACTTAGTGTAAGTGAATGGATAAAAGGATTTATGAAAGATTCACTCAAAGTATACTAACAATAATTCTGAACAAAGACAGATTGGGGGGTTTATTACTATCTCTCCGAGTTACCCCTATCTCCCAGGTATCCCCCAAAAGAACAGCAGGATCAGTTGACAGAGAGCAATTGATAGACATCTCTCAGCCCCTGTATTCTCATTATTTCTTATCTTGGCCCTTTCTTACAGTATTTTGTATGATCCAGGATGATTCTTGATCTAAAATACTATATTTTTAGTACTTTTCTGGGAAGTATGTTATTTGTCTAAAAACAAGTTTATTAGCTAAAATAGGACAAGAACATTGGAACAAAGAAACAGGGTTAACAAATACTTCGAAATTCAAATTCTTATTCCTAGCATAAATACACATACACACACACACACACACACACACACACACACACACACAGAGTAAGGTTAAGGAGGTATACTCTTCATCCTTAAAATAACTGCTTGCGGTGCTGACTGTAAATTTTAAATTCTCCGCTCTATAATCATTCTAAAATACGGTGTACCTAGTTTCCAATAAAAGGCGCCTCATCAGGAACAATAGTCTGTACTCGTCGGCGGGAGTGGGTGGGAGAGGTTGAATTACAATGCCAGGGGCTAACATTTAGGTACAACGTGGAAGGAGCAATGAGGGTGGCGGGATGCAAGTCACGGGCTCACACGGACACAGGCCTTGGACTTAGGGGATAGCTGAGGGAGGTTCAGGGTGGCCTCCTCCGCCGGCGACCCAAGGCGGGAGGCGGGCCACCTACTGCCGCCCGCCCCTTACCCAGGGAAGGCCGGCTGAGGACGGGGCGGGGCTGCCAATCACTCACCTGGTTGGTGACCTGAAACGGAAGCAGAAAAACACAATTTAGGGAATGACCCTTCTTGCTCCAGAAGCCCGCTGCCCCAGCTCCGTCCAGGACAGAACCTACCTGGGCCTTAGCATCCAGCAGCGGCTCGCTAGACCCCTCCATAGCAAGCGTCCAGGGAACCCGCCACCCACCCCGGCGGACGCTCCCGGGGTTACCGGCACTTCCGCTTCCTCTTCCCCGCCCCAGCGGCCTGGCGCACGCAGCGGACGTGGGGGAGCAGCGAACACATCCTTGTGCAACTCATCCTTAGTTTTAATTAAATATCAGTTTAGTTTTGTAGAGCCTCTCAGCAACAGTTTAATTACTGTATATAAAAAGATCCGAAGATTTGGAATATAACCTGAGAAGGGAAAGACATATGAACTTTAGGATGCCGTCTCCCCCTACTTACGCTGTAGACGTGGACTCTTCCTATTTGGGACCCAGGTCTCTCTGCGCGAGCGCAAACTTCTGACTGCGGGAGTAATTAATTCTAAGCAAATTTGAAAGGGGCTGAAAAACCACGCCCCCTTCCCCGTAGACGTTTGTCTTGCGAGGAAGGTTCCTGTGGGAACTATAGTTGTACGATTAGCTTTCGTTACTAGGATTTACTTCACCGGCCTCGCTGTGCGTGGGGTGCGGATACTTTTCTCTGTCCCCCTTGCCACTCCAGCTCTCGACCTGACTACTGCAATACCTTCCCATATGGTCTTCCCACTTCCTCCTACTCATCTCAAATCCGTTCTACAGAATATCCAGAGCGATTTTTTCCCTACCAGCTTTTTATTTTGAAAAACTTCAAATTTTTTCAGAGAAGTTGCAAAAATAGTTCAACTTACATATACCCTGCATCTGGATTCACCAAATTAACATTTTTACACATCTACTTTATTTAACTCTAGCTGCATCGATAGTAATGATGACACATTATTCCTAAATACTTGAACATGCATCTCCTAAGAACAAGGGCATTCTCCAAAAAAAAAAAAAATCACAACTATCACACTCGAATTTAATATATATAAAATACTGTTATCTAACACAGGTGCCGCCGAATTAAAATTTCCTCAGTTCTTTAAATATTTCCTAAATATTAAAAAAATTCCCACCACCGGAATCTAATCAAGAACCACCCGTTAAATTTAGTTATCGTGTCTCCTTAGTCTCCTTGAATCTAGAACTGCATTTGTAAAATGTCAGGATTGCATTGGTCCCTCACTGGAGACCCTGGAGGAGAATCTGCTTTCAGGTTGTTTGCAGAACTCAGTTCTATGCAGTTCCCATTTCCTTGCTGGCTTTTGGATGGGGGTTCTCAGCTTCTGGAGGTCACCTGTATTTCTTGGTTTGTGGCCCCGTTCCTCCATCTTCAAAGCTAATATTAATAGCAGGTCAAGTCCTCCTCACATTTTGAATCACTCTGACCTCCCCTTCTGCATCATCTCTCCTCTGTCTTCTATCACCATAGCGCTCTGACTCCAGTGTGATAGAGCTCTGTTTTTAAGGTCTCAAATGATTAGATTGAGCATACCCAGGTAATCCAGGAGAACTTTCCTATCTTAAAGTCCATCACCTTAATTATATCTGCAAAGTCCCTTCAGAGCAGTATCTAAATTAGTGTTTGATTGAATAACCAGGGCACAAGAATCTTGGAGAAGGGGCATCTTTTAAAATTCTGCCTACCACAAACACCTTCATATAATTGTTGGAGAAATACAGTGGTAGTTAATGCACGTAAAGCCCTTAGGACTGTGCCTGGCACATAGCACTCAGAATCTATGCCAAAAATAATCAGGTTATTGGACCTGATTAAAAGTGTTAATTAGCTTGGGAACATAGTCCCTCAATGAATCAAATTATTTCTTTCCTGTGGAAATCTGGTGAAAAGATAGGGCACAGTGGTGCATCTCACTGTTCAGTGCATCAGTTCAATTTGTCAGGGAATATTTCTCTTTAGCCCTTGGCTGCCATCAGATTATGTTCCGTGGGGGGATTATGCTCCATGAAGGGCTGGATGCACACACACACACACACACACACACACACACACACACACAGGCACACACGTGTGCACACACACATATATAAATCTTTTTTTAAATAAATCTTGACTATATAAAAATGCTTCCAAAAAGTGAAGTAATATATAATAAAAAGTTAAATTTTTTTATTTCTCTGTATTTTTCATGTATTCCATTAATTTTTTAAATTTAAACTGGACATGAGTGTCCCTTTCCAAAAATCTATTGATCTAATTTGGGGAGAGCAAAATGTCAGTAGTGTTTAGGCCAATTTCTGCCAATCCTTACTGTTCTTATGCTCCTGACACTCAGGCAATATATGTGATCAACTATTTATTTTTAAGACCTCCATCTTAGAAAAGACCAGAATGTATACAAGCTTCAGACTTGGAAAATACAGAACTTTATGAATAGAGTCAAGAAAAATACCAAAATTAAATATGCATAGGCATAACTGTTTTTATTTACTTTTATCTGATGGCATGTATGCAGGAGGTATAAATAAAAAAATACTTCTGGAGCGCTTACAATAAGCCTAGTATTGTCAGATGTGTAGGAGGATGTCCACAGAACTATGATCTCACAAGAGTTACAGTGTAATGGAGAAAACAAAATTGACACACTTGAAGCAAGTCATACTTCAATCTAAGCTTGTATGTTAGGGCTTTTTATGTTTTTTTGTTTGTTTGTTTTGCTAAATGATACAATCCAAGTCAAATTAGCCTGAGCAAAATAGCAGAAATTATTTTTTTATAGGGATGGCCTCTGAACTATAGAGGTGGAGCCAATTTCAGGAATCCCACAGAATTGTGAGACTTTAGGACAAAAGGGCCAAATTTCTGTTTCTCAGTTGTGGTCTGGACTTCTGTTTGTCTGTTGTCTTCATTCTCTTAGGTTTCTCCATATGTTATGGGGGAGAGGTATATGCCTATAGATCCAGGACCACAGCCTATGGTTACTGATCCAAGGGGAAAGGGGAAATTGTTCTTCTGTCTCAGTTCTCAGAGGGGGCCCCTGATTTGCATGCTTGGGTCAGACGCTCACTCCTTGGACCAATACTGGGTCTAGGGAGATGCATTAATATGCTTTTCCCATGCTTCCTGTTGTGGCCACAAGAGTAGAATTGTGTGATTGGCAAAGTCACTAGCAGCAAAATGGGTGAGAAGATGTACCCTATAGGAGATAAAGGTGAGGATGATGCAACAAAACTTGGATGAAAAGATTCTGGAAAAACAAAAACAATAGGTGTCCACCAAACACATATACGATACTTTACTATACTATACTATACTATACTACACTATACTATACTGTACTATACTATACTATACTATACTATACTATACTAATCATACCATATCATACTGCACCGCACTCCACTCCACTCCACTCCACGTGGTGGTGGTAGGCAGAATGATGGCCCCCCAAAGGTGTCAACTTCCAAATCTCCCGAATCTGTGAGCATGTCATGTTACATTACAAGGGAGGATTAAGGTTGCAGATGGAATCAAGTTTGCTAATCAGTGGACCTTAAAGAGATGTTCTTGGACTATCTAGGTGGCCCTTAAATGTGGCAGCAGAAGAGTTAGAGAGAAAGTACCAGTGATGCAGTGTGAGAAGAGAATCAGCCAGCCATTGCTGGCATTGAAGATGGAAGGGGGCCAAGAGCCAAAGAAGGCAGGTGGAGGCTGGACAAGGAAAGAAATGGATTCTCTCATGTAGATTCGAGAAGGAGCACAGCCCTACCAACACCTTGATTTTAGCCCAGTGAGACCCAATTCAGGCTTGTGACCTTTAGACTGTAAGGTAATAAATTTGTGTTGTTTTAAGCAACAAAGCTTGTGGTAATTTGTTCCAGCAGCAATAGGAAACCATGATAGTGGAGAGTAACATGGTGTTCTGGAAGCCTTAGAGTCACATAGGCCTGAATCTAAATCCATCTTCTACCACTTAGCTATGTAATTTCAGAAAAGGTAGCCTTTGTGAACATCAGCTTTCTAATCTGTAGAAATGAAGCTATTAATATTTGTCTCACAAGGTTTTAATTAAAGGTTAAATGAGAACACATATGAAAGCACATAACAAAGTTCCTGAACATAGAAAATACTCAGTAATTACCAGCTCCTATTATGATCATCATGGTATTCAATCTTCCAAAGAAGCCTGCAAGTTATCTAGGTTGTACATTATCTCCGCTTTAAAGATGAGAAAACAGAAGTTCGAGAATATTAAGCAATATCCCCTAGCTACTCGGTAAAACTTTAAACTCTTGTTTTAATTCATAGTCTGCAATCTAATTTCAGAGAACTCCAGAGAGATTCAGAACTCCCAGTGTGCCTGCTGAAATCCTTGTCAGATACCCTGTGCTAATCCAATGTTCTATTTGTACTCCAGGCTATTCAAGAATATGAGTGATTGTGTGTGTGTGTTTGTGTGTGTGTTGTGTGTGTGTGTGTGTGGGGGGGTGCGTAGTGGCATCACAATGGCAGCACAAGCAAAGTTGCAGAACTAGGAATAAAGCAGGATCACTGATTCTAGAATCATAGAGATTTTAGAACTTAAAGCAGAATACACAAATTTTTAGCCATTGGGCCAAATCTGGCCTATCCACATATTCAAATCAAAACAAAGAAAACAAAAACTATATCAGAAACTGAATGAGAATGCATTTAGATAAATTTTACATGTTCCAGTTTTGTTACTGTCTCCACATTCTTTTTTCTTTCCACCTGGCCAGTTCACACAATTACCTGACACCTGCATGGCATAGTTTTCAACCTTTGGCTTAAGGGGGCCTTACAGAGTGACCTAAGTAGGTGAAGTGTATGTCTTATAGAAACACAGCTAGATTATAGTAGAATCATGAAGCCATCA